TATATTAGCCCTGGCCATTTTGCTCAGTGGTTAGAGCGTTGGCCCGCAGTCCAGGGAGACCCAGGTTCGGTTCCCGCTAAGGGCATGTACCTCGGTTGCAGTTTGTCCCCGGCCCTGGTTGGGTCATGTGGGTGGCAACCACTCGATGTGTCTCTCTCACGTCGATATTTCTCCCTCTCTCTCCCTCCCACTCTATCTGAACAAAATATGGAAAAATGTCCTTGGATGAGGATTAAAAAAAATAAATAAATACATAAAAAGAATTACATATATTAGGCAGCAGGAAAGTAGGCAAACTGAAAAAAAGTAAAATGCTCTTGTCATGTAAATTTAGGATATTACAGTACAAATGAAGTCTAAAGGTTTAAGAGTGTATTGTGAAGAAACCATTTCTAGATTTGATCAAGGACCTAGAGTACTACAGCTAAATTGAATAAATACTCTGAGAAGCACCTACTTGTAAAAGACTTCCCACATGGCCACATTCATAACTGTAACAATTATGCAAGAACCAACATTACTTTTCAAGATTTGACTGCGTTTCTTATATAATTAAACTTATATGGGTATGAAAACGTAAGGACTTTTTAAATCTGGGCTGGAGAAACTTCAAAGCACTGTTTGCAACCAAAATCTAGGAAATACTAGAAAATGGGCATCTACCAGCTAGCCTAACTGCAGCCAAAACATTATCACTGTGAAAAAGCGATCCCCAGGAAATAGAAGCTCCATAAGGGCAGAGATGTGTTTTGCTCACGGCTGCATGCTAGCATCTAGATCAGTGCTTCCCAACAGTAGACACTCGGTGTTTTAATTAATGAATGAATCAAAGAGACCATTCCTGATGTACATTAGGAGTCAACCCAAATTTGCTTCATATATCAATACTTAATCTCTCACCAACTGGAGAATCTGTTACTGAATGACTAATATATTATGAAGTTAATTGGACTGTACAGTGTACTTTTGAGTAAAATGATTAATAAAAAATGATGATTTTTACTTTTGAGGAGCCTGGCCCCAGTAATTTGGGAAGTGGTATGCCTGACACTAAAGGAAACACACAACAACAGAATTATGGGGACAGAACATTGCATGGGGCCCTCTCCATGAAACCTTGCTGAGCACAGGCAGAGAAGCCAGCGCGAACCTACAGGTGCTGCTTCCTTCAGACGCTGTGCGACACGTCAGGCGCTCCTCCAGCATCTGCCTGGCAGTGCTAACAGATGGAAGGCATTAATCTTCTGTTCAGTGTTCCCACCTTGTCCATCCAACTTCAAATGTAACTGCACTGAGCTAGATGAGTCAGCATCTGGTCTTTCAAAAGCTAGTGCATCCCTCCCAAAGCAAAAAGGAAAAAGTTCACACTTCAGAGGCCTGAACCAATGCCAGAAGTACCCATGTTGCCTCTGGGTCTCAGACTCCCTGATGATCCTTAGCTCCTTGGATACCAAGGCAAAGACAGATCTGAAAGCTACGGAAAACCAGGCGGGCTGTCCTACACTAGACTGCACCCCAGGCAATATAAATGGTATTTGTTCACACCATGGATTAACTGCTTTGAAGGATCAAAATGCAGAAGGCAGCTACATTCAACATTTAAGGTTTTTTAATAATAAAACATTAAAAATTGTGAGTAAGCCATACTTTTATTTTTCAGAAGCAAAAATGACAAGTGGCAACTTGCCTTTGGAAAACACATTACAGAATATTAGGGTAATGAGCTATCAATCTCATAGAGACAATAGCCTAAGAAAGACTATTATTATGCAGCTCTCAAAGAAAGTCCTATTAAATAAATCTCAGAATAAAATATTTTCAAGTAAAACTACAAAACGAAAACATCAACAACAACAAAAAATTATACAGACTCCATAAAATGGTAGGTAAGGAAGAAAAAAGGAAAATCTGAAGATCCACATACTGAGAGTTCATTATTAAAATCAACCAGGCCCGAATTCTAAAACAGGAAAAAAAAATATATGTATACACACACACACACACACACGTGCGTATATATATGGAGAGAGAGAGAGAAACACAATATTCTTAGAGTCCAGTGAGGTTACTGTAGAGGCACACTGTAACATTTACGTACACGGTTTTTCTTCCTCTAGAGCCCTTCTATATGCTGCAGAGACCATATGAATGACAATGCAGAGAGCTGCCTTCTCAACAGGCCTTCTGAGTTGTAAATTTTAAACTTGAGTCTGGAATCCCAATTAAATGTCTATATAATAGGCTACAGAAAATGGAATTGCTTTTTTTTTAAGTTAATTATTTTTTATTTTATTTATTTTTTAGAGAGAGGAGACAAAACAAACAAACATTGATTTGAGAGCAAAACATCAAGCTGCTACCTCCTGCAAGTCCCCTACTAGGGATTGAGCCAGCAACTCGTTAAGTGCCCTGATGGGGAATTGAACTGGCAATCTTTTCGGTGCACTGGAATTGCTTTTTAAAATTACATTTGCTTAGGCTTGGCCCCGTAGCTCAGTTGGTTAGAGCATGGGCCTGATATACCAAAGTTGCTGGTTTGATCCCCAGTCAGAGCACATACAAGAAGTAACCAATGAATTCATAAATAAGTGGGGAAAAAAATTGATGTTTCTCTCTCTCAAAATCAATTTAAAACATTTTAAATTACATTTGCTTAATTTTTACACATCATGATTTAAAAATAATCTGTATACTTTTGAATGGAACACAACAATTTACAGTATGAAGATAGGTTATGTGAAACTACTCAACCCTTCTCTTAAAGAGTAATAATTTCCAAAATTAAGATGCTTAATAAATGATATAGTGGGTGGGGGCTGGGGTGGACAGGAAGGTGGAGAACAGCCAGGGGAACTCACAGAGATCTATATTCCAGGTTCAATTCCACACTGACTACACTGATTGTGTCTTAGTCTCAATTTGTTCCCTGGTAAGGGAGGCAGGTGAATCTCTAAGCTTCATTTCAATTTTAAACCCAAAGTCTTACAGTTTATATGAAAAGATTTGAAAAACTTTTTTGGACAATCAGTTGAATAAATTCCTCAGATCTTAACTGTTCAAATTCATGACAATTCCTATACAGCATATCCCATAATTTTACTGAGAAAAGAAAAAGTCTACCATAAAGGCAAAATTATACCTCATATCCTAATTATACACTACAACATAGAAAATAAATGCCTATTTTCTTCCTGGCCTCTAGAGGTACTCTAAATTAGCGTCAACTGAAAACCCTAAGGACTATGACTGGCCAAAACATCTAGCCTGTCTATCTGGCCCGTCTCTGAAAGCAGACAGTTCCAAGTGAACAATCACCTAAGACGTACCCTGCACCTTCCATGTTATATAGGACTTTTCCATTACAGAGAATGATTATACCAGGAAATTGTTTTCCTGAGAAAAATCTAGCATTACTGGAAGATTACTTATTAGAACAGACTAATGTCATGGAAATAAAAACCTTACAGTAGCCGAGTCCTAGAGAACCAGAGAGCTGAATCAGGAAGACTAATGGTATCTCTGACTTCTCCAAGTGTATTACCTATTTAAAGCTAAGGCCAATTAATAATTCTCATGGGCAGAGCCGAACTTTAGGTTAGAATAAGTACTTATAGTACTTCAGGGTTGAGGTCTATCGACTTTCAGGTTTAGGGAAGGAGAAGAAAAGAAAGAGGTTTACAGATCGTACTGGCCCTGGCCAAGTAGCTCAGCTGGTTAGAGCATCGTTTCAATGCTCAAAGGTTGTGGGTGTGATCCCTGGTCAGGGCACAGACAAGAATCAATCAATGAATGCATAAATAAGTGGAACAACAAAATGATCTCTCTCTCTTTTTCTCTCTCAAATAAATAAATAAAAAATTTAAAAGATCATATTGAGCCCAGCCAGTGTGGCTCAGTGGATTGAGTGTCATCCCATGGACTGAGAGGTCCCGGTTCAATTTCTGGTCACATGCCCAGGTTGTGGGCTCAATCTCGGGGGGGGGGGGGGTGGCATGCAGGATGTATCTCTCACAACAACGTTTTTGTCTCTCTCTCCCTTCCTCACTCTCTCAAAAAACAGTAAGAACATATTTTGTTTTAATTTTGTTTTCTTTATTGATTTTAGAGAGAGAGGAAGGGAGAGAGAGATAGAAACATTGATGAGAGAGAACACTGACTGGCCAGCCGCCTCCTGCATGCCCCACACTGGGAATTGGGCCCACAACCTGGGCATGTACCCTGACTGGGAATCGAACCAGCAACCTCTTGGTGTATGGGTTGATGCTCAACCACTGAGCCACACCAGCCAGGCACAGTAAGAACATATTTTTTAAAAATATAAAAATAAAAAATAAAAGATCATATTGAGCCTAGGAGAGAGAGACAGCAGAAAAGATATGTTTTATTAAACTATCTACAATACATATTTTCATCATAACTATAAGAATACTATGAGATATCTTTTTTGTTCGATGTCATATTTTTCCTTGTGAACTTTGTCCTTGAACCATATTCAATGTAAAGAATGAGAACTTGATTTGAGAACTGTAGGAGCAATGAGCATACATGAACATGCTTTACAAGAGATTAGAGATATTCCAGGCATATGCAGATAGACCCATGTTTCCTGAGAAGCAAAAGGAAAGGTTTACAGCACTAAATGATCTCCTCAATTTCCTACAGTTCTTAAATTCTCACAATTTTATACAGATAATATACTATGATTAAAATTATATACACATATCACTTACTGTTTCTTTTAAAAAATATTTATGGATATAACTGTGTTTTTCTAAATGTCTCATTAGTAATACTTAGTCTTGTAAGTCTGGTTCCATAATAATCTATAATGTAACTGCTTCCATCTGAAGGTCCAACAATCTAGAAAACAAAAATTTCAAAATTACTCATTTTACTGAAGATATTTTCATAATACTTTGTGTTTATTTTTCTCAGTTGTTAATAAAATTATTTCAGTAGCACCAATAATGCAACTCAAACCAACTCAAGCAAAAGAAAAGGTAATTTAGTGACTCAAGTAAGCTGGAAAAGATACTGGGAAGCTCACAGGATCAAATGAGCAGCAGGAAGCAAGGCCTCAGGACTGAGGCCATGCCCACGAGGGCCCTGATTTGGCCCCTGCTCTTTGCTCAGCTCCACTGGCCTTCACTCTGCAGACAGGTACTCCAACTGGTTGCCAAGAGCTCCAGCTTCACTTCACATCTGCACAGCAGAAAGAAAATAAATTTTCTTCCCCAGTGTTTATATACTAATTCCAGGGAAGAACTGTAATTGATCTGCTTCCTGTTTATGCCTACTGCTGGAGAAATTACTATACCCAAGGGAATAGGATTAATATGATTAGCCAGGCCAGGCTCCCTGAGGGAGATAAGGTAGTGTGACTGACAGTCCTACCAGAACCACATAGATGGAAAAGGAAGAGAGAGAGAGAGAGAGAGAGAGAGAGAGAGAGAGAGAGAGAGAGAGAGAAGGAAGAAAGAAAAGAAAAAAATCTCATTGCAATCATCTTGTTGCCTTAATCATATTTTTGGCAGTAAGTTAACATGATCTCTACAAATTACCCTTTACAGCAGCAATCTTCAAACTGTAGCCTTAGGGGTACACAAAGATTACCAAGGTGTATGTGAGCTCAGACGGTTCTGAGGGAATCAATTTTGAGATTCTTAATTCGCGTATGTACTCTTTGTAAAAATGATTCTACTTCCTGCTCACCATGGTCCTTTCTCCAACTTGACAACAGTAAAGATACTTCCCATCAAAGCATATCCTGAGTCTTACGATGGCACATCGCCTTAAGGTATAAAAACCTCTGATGTGCCAAACAAAGAGATAATTCAAAATATTGGACTTGGGGAAATATCCTTTAATCAAGAGTCCAAAAATATGGTCTGTCATATCTTGTTCAAAAGGGTGCATTCCCAGTATCACTTTACTTTTTTTTTTTGCTTAAAAATTATTTAAAATAATTTTTAAATAATTATTTGATCAAGTATATATCATTAATATATCATTAATAATTATAAAGGCAACTTGATCCAGAAATCACAGAAAATTTTAAATCTTTTCATTTTAATTAGTAAGATGATCAGTAGAAGATATCACATTAGGGTAAAATTATATGGGATAATGGAAATGGAAATAAAAATTCAAGGAGAAAAAGAAACAATGTAAAATTTATAATTTGAATGAAAGGTTCATTTGTGTCTTTAAAAGAATGTTATTTGAAAGTCTATGGCATTTATATTCTGTCTGGTACATTTTAAAATTAATGTAAGAGTTTTATTTAAATATGTCAATATTTGCAAACTAGAAATTATATTCTTTGCAACTACTTAAATGTATGATGGAAAACTTAAATGTCAACTTGAAAATGTGCAGAGTGTAGGAATTTTTTTTTAAAATTATTTTAGGTGCCCAGCCAGTGTGGCTCAGTGGATTGAGCACTGTCCCATGGACTGAGAGGTCCGGATTTGATTCCCAGTCAGGGCACATGCCAGGGTTATGGGCTCGATCCCCGGTGGGAATGAGGGGTGGGGTTGGGGGCTATGTGTGCAGGAGGCAGCTGATTGATGTTTCTCTCTCGCATAGATGTTTCTATCTCTTTCTCCCTTACTCTCTCTAAAAAAAAAAAAAATCAATAAAAATATTGAAAAAAATTTCTTTTAGGCGTTATATAACCAGAGTTTGATGAATACTGCTACAGAGCATTCTTTGTTTTTTTTAAATAAATTTGGTTTTAAAAACTATTTTTATCCCCACCCGAGGACATTTTTCCATTTTTTGTACAGATAGAGTGGGAGAGAGAGAGAGAGAGAGAGAGAGAGAAACATCGACGTGAAAGGGACACATTGAGTGGCTGCCACCCGCACGACCAACCAGGGCCAGGGACAAACTGCAACCAAGGTACGCGCCCTTAGCGGGAACCAAACCCGGGTCTCTCTGGACCGCAGGCCGACGCTCTAACCACTGAGCCAAACCAGCCAGGGCTTAAAAACTATTTTTCAAAAATGCTTAATTCCTATTGTATTCTACACACTGTGCTAGGTATTTTACACATAACAGTATAGAGGATATAATCTCTGCCAACAGGGAGCTTATTCTAGTGTACTAGAAATGTCAATATTCAAATAACACAAAGCACTTATGTACTAGCTACCATGCCGAATACCATAGTGGACTTTGACTTACTTTCTAAAGATTAAGTTGATTTGGCTTGATATTTATGAATGTTACTCATTAATTTAAGTAAAAATTAAAACTATTTTAGTGGCCAAAGTCGCAGAGGAAACTACTCTTGAGAATTAACCAAGAAAGAAAATGGGTGACTAGAAGTAACAACATGTTTTGAGACTTTAAGAAAAGCAAAAAAAAAAGTAAACCCTAGCCAGTAGATATAGGTCAAATCAAATGGTGAAAAGTTGCCAATTTGGAATATGTGCACATATTGGAACTGGCCTACTGGCCTATTATCTTTGTCTTCCTATGCCATCTCCCTTGACAATTCTACTCATTCCTGTTGAAAAAAGGATTCAGAAGTTGGAAATAAGGAAAATATATGATTGGGCGACCCTTTAATGCATTTCTTATAAGCTCATCTAAGGCTTACTTGACTCTCTAAGAAATGTAACTGTTTAACTAAAAACTGATTAGTACCCAGATGCTTTACACTCTTGTTAAGTTAGCAGTTAACGTGAAGAAAAATGATAAGGGTTATTTTGTTTTCTTTCCCCCATTCTGTAGAGAAGATATCCTTCAAGTTTACAGTTTATTACCTGGTAATATATGATCCAATTTTGTCTCTAGTTTAGCAATCTTATTACAGCATTTCTTTCCCCTGAAACTACGTGACTCTGGTTCCCCAACAACTAGTTCTATCATGGTAATTCCAACCCTCTTTCCAGAGACTGGATCAGCCTGGGCCTGTAATGGAATTCTGGCCAATCACCTATGAGATGAACTCAGTGAGGACTTACACACTCTTAAGAAGATATGTATAAGAGGAAATGTTCTGCCTCTGAAAGTAAGCGATGCTAACCAAAGGACCTGAAGATGGCAAAGAGAAAGAAGGAAGGAAGGAAGGAAGGAAGGAAGGAAGGAAGGAAGGAAGGAAGGAAGGAAGGAAGGAAGGGAGGGAGGGAGGGAGGGAGGGAGGGAGGGAGGGAGGGAGGGAGGGAGGAGAGAAGAAGGGAAGGAGGGTAGAAGGGAAGGAGGGTAGAGAGTAAGAAAGAAGAGAGGAGGAAGAGAAGGAAGGAAGGAAGGAAGGAAGGAAGGAAGGAAGGAAGGAAGGACGGAAGGACGGACAAATTTGGGTCCTTTATTATGTTCCTCAGATCTAAATGAACAGATCTTAGAACTACCTTATCTCCAGATTCTTGGTATATGTTATAATAAACTACCAAACTATTAATGGCAATTTAAATTGAAGTTTATTGCTTGGTTGGTGTGCCTCAATGGATTGAACGACGTTCCATGAACTGAGAGGTCCCAGTTCGATTCCAAGTCAGGGCACATGCTCGGGTTGTGGGCTTGATCCCCAGTAGGGGGCGTGTAGGAGGCAGCTAATCAAATGTATCCCTCTCACATTGATGTTTCTATCTCTCTCTCCCTTCCTCTCTCTAAAAAATTCACTAAAAACATATTAATAAATAAATTGACGTTTGTTACTTGTAGCCAAAAACTGATAATGCACTTGTCTTTAATGCCTCCAACACACCAAAGCACAGCACCAGTTGCTGTTCTCCACTAAAACAATTGGAAGAGTTACCATAAAAACAACCAAATTAGTCAGTGTGGTAAAGCACTAGACTGAAAGGAAAACCTGAAGAGAAAACTGTCAATAACTAGCTGTAGGATTAATCCTCTCTGGACCTCAGCATTTCTTATCCATCTCATGAGAAACAGAATAAGCTGTTCTACATGGTACTTTTTAAGATCTTGTATAATTACATTTAAATGCAAACACCTGGGACAAGGTAGTCAATGTACTTTTCTATGAACTATCCCACTGAAAAATTTGTTCTTCCTACTTAATTTTTTAGGAAACTATCACGTGTAAAGGCTTTATTATTCAGATCCATATTCTCCCACCAAAATTAAAAAGTTAGCCTGTTTTTAAGCATCTTATATACACTTATAAACCCTCTTATGAGAAAACTAGTGTATTATTAGTTATAAAATTATAATTCTCTTAATAATAACCCTACTGGGAATTTTTTTTACTCAGTTAAATATGACGATGTCCATTTGTTCATTGATAAGAGAGTATGAAACCTGAAATTATGAATTGATTTCTCTAAAAAACAGCTTGAAGCCAAATTGTATACATGAAGTATTTCCATTTGATAAACTGGAGCGATTTGTGAAATCTATGGAGAAAAGAAAGACCACTTACACACTTCATTCTGGTTAATGGACTAAGGTTGCTATGGGTCTTCATCTTACTAGAAAGAAAATAGGAGGACCTCTACACTATGGGAAACTGTTTTGTACTATGGATGTCAGCGTCCCTGACATAAGAAGCCCTAAAACCAAAAGAAACTTCTTATCTCTCTATATTAGTTCCCTGCAGCTACTGTGACAAATTACCACAAACTCATGGATTAAAACAATAGAAATTTACTGTCTCACAGTTCTGGAAGCCAGAGGTCTAAAATCAGGGTACTGGCATAACCGCATGCCCTACAGGAACTGTAGGGGAGAATCCATTCTAAGTAAGCTGCTTCTAGCTTCTGGTAGCAATCAGCTCTCCTCAGCATTCTGTGGTTGTGGCCACATCATTCCAATGTCTGCCTGTCTTCATGCTACCTTCTTTTCTGCTTCTGTGTCTTTTCCTCCTCTGCCTCCTATAAGGCCACTTGAAACGAATTTAGGGCCCACCTAGATAATCCAGGATGATCTCTTCATACCAGGATTCTTAACTTAATCACATCTGCAAAGACCCTTTTTTCCAAATAAGGTAATATCCACAAATTCCAGGATTTGACATAGGTATCTTTTGTCCTACCACACCCTCCTTCTGTGAAGATGGTTTGTGGTGGTTTGAAAGAATTAGATGAAATTTAATTTCTTCTTTCATGTCATTTCTGATTGTTTTCACTATACAATTTTATTTGTGGCTAAAATGCAAAAAAATCTTGAATTGTTTACTTTAAGGGATAGGTTTCTCTGTGGGTACAAAGTCTACAGCAAGAAGAGTAAATCAT